AGCAGGTCAAGAAGGAGCAGGCGGTCCTGGGCCCCCCTCCGGCACCCAAGCAGGACGGCGGCGGCCCCCCGGGGAAGGCCGCTCCCGGGGCGCCCCCAGAGGCCCCGAAGGGCAGCCTGATTGACCCCAACCAGGAGTACAGCGTGGACAAGACCAAGTGGCGCAACGACCTCTACAAGCTGCTGATGCTGCGCATCGCCCCCTCGGTGGAGGGCCGCACGGCCACGGAAGACTTGCTGGCCTCGGCCCGCGTGGCCCTGGGGGGGCGGGCCATGTCCTGGGACCTCTTCGCCACCATCAGCCAGTCCATCCTCTCCTCCCAGGACAAGATAGCCCCCGAGCCATTCCAAGTGAAGGAGTACATGGCTCAGCTGTTCAAGAGCTCTCCTTGGGAGCTCTGGCCCGAGAAAGCGGAGGAGAGTAAGGAGACCGTGGTGGCCGTCAAGATGGGGAGGGAGATCGGCAGCAGCTCTGAGGGCGAGTCCGAGAGCAGCAGCTTGGAGGAGATGCCAAGGATAAAAGACGAGGAAGAGGAAGAGGCCGGCACTGTGGCAGCACCGGCGGAGAAGAAGACAAAAGCCGACGGCCGCGGAAAGCTAAAGAAAGCGGCAGTTTCTGTGCTACAGAGAAAGAAGTTGGCCAGGGCAGTAAAGAAGGAGGGTCAAGAGGAAGGGGGAGGAGAAGACGATGAGGAAGTCAGCGGGAAAGAAGGGGAGGCGGTCAGGAAGAAAGAGCGGGAACTGTTCAAGGGAAAGGAGCAGGAGCTGGCCAGGGAGAAGGAGCAGGAGAAAGAGCAGGAGGCGGCGAGGGGGAAGGAGCAGGAGGCGGCCCAGGAAAAAGAGCGGGAAAAAGGGAAGCGGAGGAAGTGGGAGGCGGCTGTGAGGAAAGAGAGAGAGATGGCTCGGAAGACGGCGGCAGCGGCGAGGCGGGCTGAGAGGAGAGGAACGGGGGCCCCGGAGGCAGCGGAGGAGTTGGGCAGGGAGGGCGAGGGGCCGTTCTCGGAGGAGGAGGAGGGGATATTGGCCAGCGCGGTGCAAAGCGGGCTGTCTGAGGCCATGGGGTGGTCGCTGACTGAAGCCCAAGATAGCATTATGCTGGCGGAACTGAAGGAAAGGATCTTGGCTGAGGCAGAAGAGATCGCGCTAGCTGAACTGAGGGAGGAGGCCCTGGCCGAAGCCAAAGAGAGGCTGTTGGAAGAGATGAGAGAACAGGCACTGGCCGAGGCACGGAAGAACACCTTGGCCGAGCTGAGAGAGAGGGCCCTGTCCGAAGCGCGAGAGCGGGTGCTGGCGGAGATGAGGGAGAGTGCCCTGGCTGAGGCCCGAGAGAGGGTGCTGTCCGAGGTGATGGAAAGGGCCCTGGCCGAGGCACGGGAGATAGCGCTGGCTGAGGGGACAGAGGGGGAGCTGTTCGAGGAGAGAGTGAGGGAGCTGGCTGAGGAGAGGGTGAGGGAGCTGGTTGAGGAGAGGATGAGGGAGCTGGCTATGACATGGTCCATGGAGGTGGACGAGGCGAGGATAGCGGAGCTGGCCGAGGCAAAGGTTGCAGAGCAGATCGAAGCAGAGATAAGGGAGCAGGCTGAGGCACAGATCGCAGAACTAGCCCAGGCAACCGAAGAGGAGCTGGGCGAGGCGAAGGTAGCAGAGCTGGGCGAGGCGAAGGTAGCAGAGCTGGCCAAGGCGAAGGTAGCAGAGCTGGCCAAGGCAAAGGTAGCAGAGCTGGCCGAGGCAAAGGTAGCAGAGCTGGCCGAGGCGAAGATAACAGAGATGGTCGAGGCGAAGGTAGCAGAGCTGGGCGAGGCGAAGGTAGCAGAGCTGGCCGAGGCGAAGGTAGCAGAGCTGGATGAGGCGAAGGTAGAAGCACTGGCCGAGGCAAGAGTGTGGGAGCTGGTGAAGACCAAGATAAAAGACCTGGCCAAGGTAAGAACCAAGCAGCTGGCTAAGGCAAAGATGAGGGAACTGGGCATGGAGGAGGCAGCCCAAGGGGATGAGGGGGTCCAGGGACCCCTCTCTGAGGAGGAAGGGGCCGAAACGTGGGAGGACGTCGGAGGGGAAGAAGTGATGATCTTCTCCGAGGAGGAGCGGGAGGCACTCATGAGCACGCTGCTGGAGGAACGGGCCGCTCGTAGGGAGCTTGGCTGCTTGGACCACGCCCTGCTGCTTCTGGATATTCTGACCAAGCCGGAGGTGCTGGGGGGCTCCGATCCCCAGGTCTTCCAGCGCCTCTTCCAAGTGGTGTCGCTGCTCCAGATACCGTCCGGGCTCCACTACAAGGAACTGGCGGAGTATCTGCTGCAGAGCGCAGACCAAATCGCAACCGCGGGCGAGGAGGAGGACCGGCGCTCCGCCAAGGAGGTCTCTCCCATTTACCAGGAGCTGAGGAGAGCGGTGGAGGCCCACCGGCCCGAGCGCGGGAGTTCGCGGGAGTTCGCCGCCAGGATGCGGGCCCTGCTGAGGGCCGCCCGGCTCATGCTGCGGGCCCGGGCCTTGAAGGAGCAGCTGGAGAAGGGCTTCGAGAAGCACCCCTGGTGGGCCAAAGCAGAGAAGGAGTGGATGGCGGACGAGAGGCGGGTCGTCGGGCGGAGGGACTGGGTGGACCAGAGGCTGAGGGATGCCATCTGCAAGTGGCAGGAGGAGCAGAAGAAGGTGGAATACGAGAAGCAGGAGCAGCGGCACAAGTCCCGGCACCTCAGGCTTAAGCTGCAGCCTGGCCAGTTCCGTGAGGGCCAGTGGGAGGGGAGAGGGGAGAGGAAGGAGGAGAGGCCGGCCGAGAGGGAAGAGCAGGTCCTGGGGAGGGCGGGGCAGCCCCCCGGCCCACCACCACCCAAGAAGATCACGTGGACCCTGAGCCAATGGCAGCATAGGGCCCGGGAGGCCATTCTGAAGCTGGAGAAGCTGTCCCTAGATAGGGCCAAGGAGTGCTACAGGGGGGTGTCCTTGCTGAAGATGCAGCGGCTTCCAACGGGCTCGCTCTACTTGCCCACAAAGCTGCCACCGATCGGGCCCCCCCAGGTCGTGAGGGGGGTCAGGCAGCACATCTTACGTTCCCCGGAGAAAGCCGTGGACTGGGAGATGTTTTCAGCGCTCTACCAGTCCCTGACGATGCTAAGGGAGGAGGAAGGCGGGGTTGAGTCGCCCGCCTGGCGCGAGCAGCTCTGCGCGCTGCTAGACCTCTTCGGCCTGAGCAACCGGCTCATCCGTGCCTTGGTGCAGCAGCTGGCAATGAAGGAGACCAGCCCTCGCACGGCCCTCGCGGGCAAGCAGTTCCCGATGGGCCTGGGGGAGGCGAATTTGGGGGAGCGGATCCTCTACCAAGTGGCCCACCGCTTAGGCCCTGTTGTTCCCAAGCCTCCTGCCCTGCACGGGGTCATCCCTCTCAGCTACCGAAACGACGTACACCCCTTCAGTCTGGTGGGCGTCGCCCACTTTGGCACCCTGTCTCTCAAGTGGAGGACCTTCTTCGCCAAGGGCCGACTACCCAGGCTGCGCTTGTGTATCCAGACCCAGCCCCTCTCCAAGTAGCCGCTCTTTCCAAAATCCAGAGATAAATGTATTTTTTCCCCGCCTTTTGTACTGTCCCATCTGTTTAGATTTGTGGCAAGAGCTCCCAGTTTGAAGGAGCCCCTCCGCTTGCCAGACGTTTCCTGGGTAAAGCTTCTGGCGAAAACATGTGGCATATAGCTGGGGTTAACAAACTAATTGAAAAGGAATACAGACAACGAGAATCTAATCTAATAGCCTAAGCTAAATGCTGTATGGTTTTTTAACAATAAATATTCAAATTACAAGTCTATGTTTTTGTATTATGAAATATTCATCAGTATTCTAATATCCAATCTTCTATTGTTTCATCCCTACGCAACGAAATAACATAAACCAATCACAAGACAGAAAGCTCATGAATTACAAGACTGGGGTGTGTATTTAGAAAATCACCGAAGTGGGGAAAAAAAGGTCCTTTAAAAACCATGGTATCAATAAAGATATAGACCTTGGGCCAGACCAATATTTTCAAAAGCCGTGGAACATCCACTAAATGTCGAAATGAGCTTGGCAAGGTTTGGAACTCCACAGTATGTCCAGACTCTTTAAACTGAACGACGACTAACGCAGATCCCAGGTAGTCTCAGGCATTTCATTTCTTCATCAGAGAGTACAGTCCATGCAGTCTTCCTCTGATAATTGTATATGGGAGCTGATCGAATTCATAAGCTTTAATTTTGGAGGAGGAGGAGATTGGATTTATACCCCGCCCTTCACTCGGAGTCTCAGAGCAGCTTACAAACTCCTTTCCCTTCCCCTCCCCACAACAGACACCCTGTGAGGTGGGTGGGGCTGAGAGAACTCTTGACAGAAACGGCTCTTTTTCAAGGACAGCTCTTATCAGAACTGTGTCTTGCCCAAGGTCATCCAGCCAGGTGCAAGTGGAGGAGGAGTGGGGAATCAAACCCAGTTCTCCCAGATTAGAAGAAGAAGAAGAGATTGGATTTATACCCCACCCTTCACTCAGAGTCTCAAAGCGGCTTACAAACTCCTTTCCCTTCCCCTCCCCACAACAGCCACCCTGTGAGGTAGGCGGGGCTGAGACAGCTCTGACAGAAATTGCCCTTTTTCAAGAACAGCTCTGACAGAAGTCCTTTTAAAACAGTGGTATCAATAAAGATATAGACCTTGAGCCAGACCAATATTTTCAAAAGCCGTGGAACATCCACTAAATACCGAAAATAGCTTGGCAAGGTTTGGAACTCCACAGTATGTCCACATGGGTGTGGCAATCTTTAACGTCTTTAAGTCGAACTGCGACCGACGCAGATCCCAGGTTTCACTTCTTCATCAGAGTGTATAGTTCTTGCAGCCTTCCTCTGATCATTCTATATGGGAGCTGATGGAATTCATAAGATTTAATTTTAAAGCAAAAAAACCACCCCAATATACATCAAATGCCTCAAAAAGGATAAGGTAAGCTGCTTTTTTTAGGCGTTGTATTGATTTGATGTAACCATGATACTGGAGGAGCACCTCACGGCCAGTCACGTGGTCCACTTGAGCGGCGGGTGGAGGGGCGAAGCAAGCCATCTCCCTTCCTGGCATCATGCATCTCTGGGCTTCGATCTCCCATCCGCGTGAGCAGCAGGAACCAGAGATAGAGGAACACAGGTGCAGATTCCGTCGCTCCCTCATCTCCAATCTTTTAGATGCTGTCTGGGATAATCAGGGGTCGTTTTGTAGAAAAAGAGGTGCAGGAGCTCATTCACATGACTCATTAGCATAACTCATTTGCAGGTGCCACAACCCCCTGGCATCACCGGAAGTGTGTCAGAAGGCAACGCCCACCGCTCAGGCTCCACTGGACTGTTTTGAATTGCTAGCTATTGGGGGGGGGGGAACGTGCAGATCTGCCCTCACAGAGGAGGGAGAGCTTGTACCTGAATAAAACTTGGTCTTAAAGGTGCCACTGGACTGTTTTGGATTGCTAGCTATTGGGGGGGGGGGCACTCAGATCTGCCCTCACAGAGGAGGGAGAGCTTGTACCTGTGTGCTCCTGCCGGAAATGACCCCTGTTCTTTCTACTTCTGTTTGTAAGTTAAAACGGAGGTGAGGAGACCAATGTCGGCCAGTTTGGGTGCCCCCACTGGATTCAATAAAATAGTTTTCGCTTTTGTTTCCATTGAAAAGTTCTAATTCCCTAAAGTTGAATTCGAGGTTGTGGGGGTGGGGGGAACATGCAGATCCGCCCTCACAGAGGAGGGACAGCTTGTACCTGAAGGTGGGCTGGGGGAGGCTCTGCAACTTACCTGGCTTCTTGCTCCTCATGGCCCCACTGAGGGCTGCTGGGAGCAGGGGGCGGGGCTTGTTGCATGTGCCCGCCCCCTGGCCTCCTTACTGCTGGAGCTCCGCTCCTGTGCGCTCCTGCAGGAAATGGCCCCTAGGGACAATTAAGAGATGAAAAAAAGTACTTTGTACACAGCCAAGGAGATCTTTACTTTTTCTTGCGCTTCTAGGGGCAAAATTGAATGGACTCCTGTTCTAGGGTATGCCACTGGTGGAAAATGCTGTCCGGTTGCAGCCAACTTATGGTGACCATGTAGGATTTTTAAGGCATTCAGGTGGTTTGCTATTTGCCTGCCTCTGCTTAGCGACCCTGGACTTCCTTGACGGTCTCCCATCCAAGGACTAACCAGAGGTGACCTGGCATAGCTTCTGAGATCTGAGGAGAGGGGATAGTCCGGGGCGTCCAGGGCAGGGCAGGTTTTAATGGGGGGGGGAGTAGTGCCGTCACGTCAAAGCTGACTTGTGGCAACCAAGACTCCCTCTGAGCTGTGGAGTCTTGTGAGCAAAAATTCTGCTTTGTGAGCTGCTGGCATTGAAGTTGTGAGTGAGCGACTTGGCTACTGCATAAATCAGTTTGCTCCGGAGCCCTCATTCCTGAGCTGAGACAAAAATGTGTGAGCCGGAGGCTAGAAAACTGTGAGCTAGCTCACACTGACTCAGCTTAGAAGGAACACTGATTACAACCGATGCTCCCTCTAAGCTGTGGAGTCTTGTGAGCAAAAATTCTGCCTTGTGAGCTACTGGCATTGAAGTTGTGAGTGAGCGATCTGGCTGCTGCATAAATCAGTTTGCTCTGGAGCCATCCTTCCTGAGCGAAGACAAAAATGTGTTAGCCGGAGGCTAAAACACTGTGAGCTAGCTCACACTAACTTAGCTTAGAGGGAACACTTGCTGCAATGCCCCCTCTGAGCTGTGGAGTCTTGTGAGCAAAAATTCTTCTTTGTGAGCTACTGGCATTAAAGTTGTGAGCGAGCGATTTGGCTGCTGCATAAATCAGTTTGCTCCAGAGCCAGTTTGGTGTAGTGGTTAAGTGTGCGGACTCTAATCTGGGAGAACCGGGTTTGATTCCCCACTCCTCCACTTGCACCTGCTGATGTGACCTTGGGTCAGTCACAAGCTCTGGCACAGCTGTCCTTGAAAAAGAGCCGTTTCTGTCAGAGCTCTCTCAGCCCCACCCACCTCACAGGGTGTCTGTTGTGGGGAGGGGAAGGGAGAGGAGTTTATAAGCCGCTCTGAGACTCCGAGTGAAGGGCGGGGTATAAATCCAATCTCTTCTTCTTCTTCTTCCTGAGGCCTATTGCCTGGTGTAAGATCATAATTCCCCATATTAAATAGCGATCTGAGGCAATTTGGCCAACAAACTTTCCAAGTACACGAATACGCGCAACTGCTTTTGGTTACTGTTGGGATTCTTTTTAAGTAAGTCAGCAGAGTATTAAGAGACTGAGTCCATGGTGTGTATTAAAATATAAAAGTTTACTATAAACCTAACATGGGGAAAAGGTACACAGGATATGAAAATAACAAAGAGCTAATATGGCTACATCCTTACAGCTAAAAGGTAAAACGGGAAGAGCCGAATGGCGTCTCCTTCTCAGTCAGAACAAAGAACGGGAAGAGAAGCCATAAAATGGTAATACACCTTGACACTTTAGTCCCAATCAAATCCCTAGATCAGGGAGAAAATTCCCAGGCTTCCTATTGTCTAAACAGATTGGTTACAAACAAACATGTGACTTAACAAACATCATTAACCCTGAAAATACTGAAGTGTTTTGACTTGTAACACCCAACAGTTACCTTACTGGTCAACGAAATGGTCGGGGGAGGGGGTGACTGGCTGCGTTGGCACACCTGTAGCGAGGGTTGCCAACTCCCAACTGGAAAATTCCTGGAGATTTGAGCGGTGGAGCCATAGGAGGGTGGGGCGAGGGAAGGGACATAGAATCCACCCTCCAGATCAGCCATTTTGTCCAGGGGAACTGATTGCTATTATCCGGAGACCCGTTGTAACCCCCAGAAGATCTGCAGGATCCCACCTGGAGGTTGATCAACCAATGGAAACAACCGTGACATACTTCCCAAGGACTCGTTTTATGTAGATTTCTATGCAATTTCACTTATATTACTGAAATCCTATAAAGATTTTTAACATTAATAGATACCAGAGAATTTTACGGTGCATGTAATTCCTCTACGATGAATAAAAGTGCTTAGGTCAAATCACTGCCCATACAGCCGCTCAGAACTTCTGTCGACTTCTTCATCCCTTCAAAGTTCAAAATCCCTCCTCTTTATATTTTAAGCGTCGGTCAGGGCCACGTTCTTTCTCCGCTTCTATGAACAGCACATCCGAGGCTTGAAACCCGTTTCTGTGCTCTTCCTCAGGGCAAATTCCACAACAGAAACATCACGTAAATCCTCCCTTTGGCAATTCAGTGAGCTGCACTCTGTAAAGTGCTTTCAAAAAAGGCAACTCAGCTAGCTTGTGAAAACTCTAATCTCGCCAGTAGTTTTCCAAACTCTAATCTCACCAGCAGGTTCACAGGGGGGAGAAGAGTGTGCCCCAAAAATGCATTTATTGGCAAGGAGATATACAGATGGGAGCTAGGGCTGCCACCAGTGTTCCCTCTAAGCTGAGCTAGTGTGAGCTAGCTCACAGTCTTTTAGGCTTCCTAGCTCAGGAAGGAGGGCTCCCGAGCAAACTAATTTATGCAGCAGCCAAATCGCTCGCTCACAAGACTCCACGGCTTCGAGGGAGCATTGGTGGCCACCCTCCCGGTGGGACCTGGGGATGTCTCAGAATCACAGCTCATCTCCAGACTACAGAGATCAGTTCCCCTGGAGAAAATTGATGCTCTGGAGGGTGGACTCCCTGTGGCCTTGTGCCCCCCTGAGGTCTCTCTCCTCCCCAAATCCCGCTCTTCTCAGACTCCATTCCCCCCAAGATCTGCAGGAATTTCCCGGCTCCAAGTTGGCAACACTGGGAGCCACTGGTTTCAAGACAAGGGAGCTCAAGACGGCCAACAACTCTTAACAAACAAACCAAACTAACCGAGCCGGGACCCCACCCCATGGGAATAAACACACCAAGAGCGTAGGGGTGAAGCCGACTGTTCCATAGTAACGCACAGAAGGTAAATACACCACACCCTGCCTTTAAAGTCTTCAGAATCTCTTCTCAGTTTACAGTATTTCCCTGGCCACCTGCCACAATTTAGGACTCTGCTTGCTTGTTTATTTGTTTATTTACCCCGCCCTCCCCTCTTCTTGGAGACATGGCATACATCTGTAAGTAACAAAAACATGGAAACGTTAATATCTACATTTTTGATGTTAGCAAAATTAACAATTGCACAAAAATGGAAACAAAAAAGCACCCCTACACTAACTTGTTGGCAAAATTTGGGAATGCTTTATTTGCGGGCGGACAACATATAATTCATCTGCTTTGCAGTCAGAAAGCTACCAAAAGCGGTTCCAGGCGGTATGGTTTCCTATGATCAGTTACTTAGAAAACTGTGAAATAATTCCTAATAACCCGATATATAGGAATTTATTGTTCTTCTAATTGCATTGCGAACCAAAAGAGTCTCAATGGTTGTAATTTTTCATGTTTGTAATCTAGTAGAACTCATCTCTTCGTGTTTACTGTTAAGTCTGCTTTTGAACGACCTCTTTTTTTTGTAACCCTTCCGATTGTTTAATAGTGTTGTACTGTGGATTAAAATAAAACAGATAATAACATTAAAAACAGAAATTACGATTAAAACAATTCTAAAACCATAATAAAGTGCTAGTCATCGTTGGTAATCGTCAATCGTTGTTGTCCATAAACGGTAGCAGCCATCATTCGCAGTTCTCAGCTCAGTCAGCTTACAGCAGGGCTGTCGAACTTATTTCTGATGAGGGCCGGATCTGACATAAATGAGACCTTGCTCGGCCAGGCCACGTGTGTCATGAAATGTAATGCCAAGGAGCGGAGATACAAACTTTATAAAGGACACAAACACAAAGGGGTTTCCCCCCCCCCTTAAAATAAAAAACATGCTTAAAACATTAGCACTCTCGCAGTATTTTGTTTATTTGTGTCTGATAAGTGACACCTCTTGCTCTGAATTATTGCATCAAAAATGTCTCTGCTGCTGCAATCTTGAGTATGCTGTTCAGGTGTGCGTGTCTGTAAGCTGCAAGCCTACGATGACGCAGAAGCAGCAGAACTGGAAGAAGAAGCAGAAGACAGCCAGTTCCACTGCGGGCTTGGCAGAAGCCCTCCGGGGGGCCTGATCCAGCCCCCCCGGGCCACATGTTTGACACCCCTGGCTTACAGTGTTCATTTTGGTTGTTCTTACAGAACCTGCTGTTCTTTAGGCTGTTGGTGGCAGTTTCCGGAATCCAGGGCCCTCTCTCATTCCACCATCCGATGTTGTTCATTGGTGGTGATGGCAGCGGCTCCCAAAAGCCTGGTGGAAGAGCTTTGTTTTACAGGCCCTGCAGAACTGTAGAAGGTCCCGCAGGGCCCTGATCTCCTCCGGGAGCCCATTCCACCAGGCTGGGGCCGCCACCGAAAAGGCCCTGGCCCTGGTCGTCGACAGCCTCGCCTCCTTAGGACCCAGGAGGGCCGCCCAGTTCTGGGCCCCTGACTGCACAGTGCTCTCTGGGGAACATCGGTCTCAGCAAAGAATATCCAAGAAGGGGGATTCTCCCCTCCCGCATTTCATTACCAAACCGAGGCTGTTATGTGGCGTCAGCTTAAGAAAAAAGTATTGGGTCGTTACCAGCCACAGATTCAAGAAAGTCAATACAGCGGGGCAAGAAAACATCCAGGGGCAGGCCTCATCCTGAGACTGTTGGATTATTTACTTATGTTTATTTATTAGGGCGGCTTACAATGGTTAAAACCAGCATACAATTAATGCCGATTGTCACATCTAAAACAATACAAAGCAATACAATACATACAACTTATTAAAATTAGAATGTGGCGGCCGTCTGTTATGAAGTGCTAGCGCTTATGTGGGAGGGTCAGTGTGGCCAGGGCTGTTAGAACGCTTGTCGGAACAGCTCGGTCTTCACCGCTCTACGGAATTGTTGAAGATCCTGCAGAGCTTCAATTTCATTTGGGAGCTGGTTCCATAGCGCCGGTGCAGCTAGGGAGAATGCCCTGGTTCTTGTTGCTGTTAACTTAGCTAGGGCCAGGGGGGACCAGGCGGTTTTGTGTCCCGGATCTCAGTGCCCTCAGGGGAACATACAGGGAAAGGCGGTCCCTCAGGTAGACAGGTCTATATATGTGTGTGTGTGCATGGTTTGCAGAGCAGTGTAATAAAATGGTATCATACATAAACCAATGCAGCAAAACTGGATTATAACTCTGGAAAACAATGCTAGAACAAGAGTGATACAGATGATAAATGATGTAAAAGACCTTGCACAGAAGTGGAATGGAACCTGATGGAAGACGACTGAGATGGGATATCTTTGCAGGCAGGATTCTACCAGAGGCAAAAGAAACCCAGCCCTCGTGGATTCCCCCCCACGAACACAGGATGCTGCCTTAACACTGCAGCATCAGACCCCTCTTGGTCCAACAAGGTCAGTCTTGTCTACTCTGACTGGTAGCGGGTCTCCCAGGCCTCAGGTGGAGGCCTTTCACATCCTGGTCCTTTTCCTTTTCCCGCCTGGTCCTTTTTAACTGGAGATGCTGCCAGGGATCGAACCTGAGACCTTCTGCGTGCCAAGCAGAGGCTCTTCCACTGAACCACAGCCCCTCTCCACAGCTCTCCAGGGTCTCAGGCGGAGGTCTTTCCCGTTACCTCCTGCCTGGTCCTTTTTAACTGGAGATGCTGCTGGGGATTGAACCTGGGACCTTCTGCATGCCAAGAAGAGGCTCCTCCACTGAGCCACAGCCCCTCTCCACAGCTCTCCAGGGTCTCAGGCGGAGGTCTTTCCCATCACCTCCTGCCTAGTCCTTTCTAAGAGGAGATGCTGCTGGGGATCGAACCAGGGGGACCTCCTGCATGCCAAGCAGAGGCTCTGCCACTGAGCCACGGCCCCTCTTGACAGCTCTCCAGGGTCTCCGGCGGAGGTCTTTCCCATCACCTCCTGCCTGGTCCTTTTTAACTGGAGATGCTGCTGGGGATTGATCCTAGGACCTTCTGCATGCCAAGCAGAGGCTCTGCCACTGAGCCACGGCCCCTCTCGACAGCTCTCCAGGGTCTCAGGCAGAGGTCTTTCCCATCACCTACCGCCTGGTCCTTTTTAACTGGAGACGCCAGGGATTGAACTTGGGACCCTCTGCATGCCAAGCAGAGGTTCTGCCACTGAGCCAGGGCCCCTCCTATGAGTTACTTATTTAAAGTTAGTACATGTTATTAAATGGATGGGGGCGGTTCATTCAGTGCAGCTCTGAAAGGATTGGGGGGTGGAGCATGACAGAAAGGATGTTCTCCCTACTGGAAAGCCTAATTTTCCTTCCCGCTCCCTCCAGTGGAAAGTGTGCCCAGCCAGGCCCTCCCAGATAGCCTGGGGGAGGCACAAGAAACCGGTTGAGCAGGTGTCAAGTGCTCACTGAAAACAAAGCCTTTCGGCGTCCTGCCCTGAGCAGGTGTGCGTTTCTGTGGATGACTTCTGAGAGACAATTCTGGGGGGGGGGGCACAGCGGCAAATTCAGGCGAAGGGCTGCAGCAGTGAAGTCCCCCCCCAGAGGGGAGGGTCCTGTTTTTGGCACAGACCCTTGCCCTGGCCAAACAGGGGGAGACTTCCCTCTGGGCCTCCTCACCTTGGCGTACTCTTCACTTCAAAGTAGTACCAGGAGGCCCTAGGTTTGCATCCTCCCCCTCTTGACCCACGGCACATCTGAGCAGGGCTGGCTCGCTCACTAGGTGAACTAGGCAATCGCCTAGAGCGGGCCGGCCCTTAGGGGCGCCAAGTTGCACCCGGCCCCATACTCTGGGAGTTTCTTGATTATTTGTGTTTTTCATTCTTCCTAAAATGCATTTATTTTTGGAAATTGGTGGGGGCACGGGGGGAGCGCCAGAAGGGATCCTTGCCTACGGTGCAAAATAAGCCGGGGGTGGCCCTGCATCTGAGTGTGGGGAGAGGAACGGTGGCAGGTCAGAGAAGCCTCCCACCATCTCTCTCTTTTCCTTTGTGAACTTCAAACACACAGAAGAAGAGATTGGATTTATTACCCCCCCCCCGCCCTTCACTCGGAGTCTCAGAGCGGCTTAGAAACTCCTTTCCCTCCTCCTCCCCACAACAGACACCCTGTGAGCAGTGTTCCCACTAAGCTGAGTTCGTGTGAGCCAGCTCACAGTTTTTTAGCCTCCAGTTCACACATTTTTGCCTTCGCTCGGGAAGGATGGCTCCAGAGCAGGCTAACTGGTGCAGCAGCCAAATCGCTCGCTCACAATTTTAATGTCGGTAGCTCACAAAGTAGAATTTTTGCTCCCAAGACACCACAGCTTAGAGGTCTTTCCCTGAGGGTGGAAAAGCACCTTGGGAAAGGGGTCAGGTTTGGGAAGAGGAAAGGAAGAGGAGACAAGGTCTGCTCCCGCCTCCCGGTGGGGCCTGGGGATCCCCCGGACTTACAACTCATCTGCAGAGTCCAGTGATCCCTCTAGGCTGAGTGAGTGTGAGCCAGCTCACAGGTTTTTAGCCTCCGGCTCCTCACACATTTTTGTCTCAGCTCAGGAAGGACGGGGGCTCCAGGGCAAACTAATGGACGCAGCAGCCAAGGGCTGGCTCACACAGCCTTAACGCCGGTAGCTCACCCAATGGAATTTGTGCTCACGGGCAGTGTTCCCTCTAAGCTGAGTTAATGTGAGCCAGCTCACAGTTTTTTAGCCTCCGGCTCACACATTTTTGCCTTAGCTCCAGAGCAAATAAATGTATGCAGCAGCCCAATCGCTCGCTCACAACTTTAATGCCAGTGGCAGCTCACAAAGTAGAATTTTTGCACACAAGACTCCACGGCTTAGAGGGAGCCTTGCTCACGGGACTCCTCCACCGCTTAGAGGGAGCAGTGTCCGTTCCCCCCAGGCCAGCGCGCGGACTACAAGGCCCGGCATCCTCCGCGGCGGCGGCGGCGGCCCCCTCGCCCTCCCCCTCCCCGCCCGGTCTGCACCAGCTGACAGTGGCCGCGGCGGCCCGGGGGATGGATGGAGCCGGCCGGCAGCAGCGGCCCCCGCGCCCGGAGGAGGGGTCCGGGAGGAGGGGGCGGCGGCGGCGGCGGCTGACTGCGGGGGGCCGGGGGGGCAGCCTGGAGCGCGCACAGGTGAGCCGTGCCCAGGTGGGCAGCGCA